CCCCCGGGGAAATCAGTGTGGTTATTGCGAGCACGAGCCATATCCAGACATTCTTTGATCCATGCTAGCATCTGTGCAACTTCTTGTATGTGGATCTTTAACGAGGATTTCGTTCTGTTGCCCTATTCCGTGACTCCACCTCAGTGTGTGGGCAGCCCACCATGAACGGTTAGGTTATTCCGATGTTGTTTATGTTAAAATGCACTTGCCTTTCTATTATTATCGAATCGATGCAAATGAACAGTCGAGCCATCCGACAGTATGTTAATAAATCGGTGTTGGCACCCTCGTGCCTGGCCGACTGACCTGGTGAACCGTGCTTAAACGCATCCGTTAGGCAAGACCGGCAATCCCAGCTACAGAACAATATTTACATACTCATGCAAACGAACACTTGCGTCTCAACTATCATCTTAAAGATGAGCCTACATACCAAGCCAGTTGTCCCGCTTGAATGCTTCGGCCGCGCGGAGCTGATGATGATGATAATCGAGAAGTACTAGAGGTAATGTAGCGAATAGAGAAGAGGTTAAAGAGATAGCGTAACCGTAGGTAGACACAATAGGGGATTATTCTAAAGAAAGGCGCGGTGAAACAGACTTTTATTCTATTCAGTGCTATTGATGCCTCTTTATCGTACGCTAAGTCGGTGACCTCCTATGAAAAAACCCCTTCCCGGAAGTCTAAGACAGATAATTACGATACCAATTCCTGGGCTCTCGGGCGAGGCTCTGTCATGAATTCCCTGAGTACGAGATAATAAAGGACCAATTCCAAGCTTTGGGTGCTACACCCCTTCAGGCGACATATAACCAGGCTAATCAGCGTGTTAGGAGGATATATTAAATGATACTGAAGCAGGAAATACCAGAAGGTTGGTTCCATAAGGGCACTTAGAGCTGTGTTGACAGGGGTGACGTGCGCGCGTCGACGCACAGCGTGTAGTGCGGCGACATTGCTAACCACAAAAGGTGAGAAGGGCAAAGCAGTAACGTCATAAAGAATGAGAAGACAGCTATGGCAGTTGATTATGCACATAAAGGTCTGGGCCCGTCGGAATCTGTCATACGCCGAGGCAAGATCACATTGGTAATCCAGATGGGTCCCTCGTATTGATCCCTCTTACCACCAGAAAGAGACAACCCTACTCGCAAGTATCCCTTTCGCTTGGTCTACATATGGTCAGGCTTTCCTCGATACAATCTGACAATAAAACCTCAATGTTGCACAATTGCACAAGATGACTGACGACGGAATTGAGCTCTCGCCGACTAGGCAGCGCTCCCCTGATATTATGAGGATGGGAAATCCTACACAAAGCTATGATAACAATATAGCTATCCAACAAGCGGTGGGCAGCTCAGAAGAGCCTGAAGAACAGCGTGGAAAGGTTCAGGTATTTGCCATCATGGTGGCTCTCTGCGTAAGGTCCCTGCTTCTGTTGCATGTCATAGTCATACAATTGGGCAGTTCGGAACGAGGCATTGACACTCCAACTTTGTAGTTGTCCCTTTTCATCGCCGCCTTAGATCAAACGATTGTTTCTACCTCTCTACCGACGATTGCCTCGCGCTTACATTCTGCAAGTGGCTATACATGGGTTGGCGGAGCATATCTCCTGGCCAGTGCGGCCGCGGCTCCCATCTGGGCAAAACTATCTGATATCTGGGGTCGCAAGCCCATCCTTCTTGTTGCTGTTCTATGGTTCCTGCTCAGCTCTATTGTGTGCGCTGCCGCAGTGAACATGAAGATGTTGATTGCCGGTCGAGCGCTACAAGGGATAGCAGGTGGTGGTCTCTTGCAACTGGTCATGATTGTTGTGTCCGATTTGTTCAGTGTCCGGTCAGCATCAACACCTTCATATCGTGGCATATTTCCTGACGAATAGAATTATCCTAACAGGCTTTTAGGTCCCGAAGTCTCTATATGGGAATCCTGGAGTTCATGTGGACTATTTCCGGTGGCCTCGGACCAATCCTCGGTGGTGTATTTTCGGAATATCTCTCCTGGCGATGGAACTTTTGGATAAACCTGCCCATCTGCGGACTGGCATTCATATTGCTCTTCTTCTACTTAGACGTCCACAACCCGAAAACCAAGGTGACTGACGGTTTGAAAGCAATCGATTGGCTGGGTAGTCTGTCTATCATTGGGTTTACCCTGATGGTCCTCCTAGGTCTTAATTTTGGAGGGGAAGCATTTGCCTGGAACTCGCCTCAGGTGATTTGTCTGCTTGTGTTCGGGTCTCTTTTCTCAGTTATATTCTTCTACGGGGAGAAATATGTCGCCAAATACCCTCTCATGCCCCTCAAAATTCTGAAACATCGATCAAACATTGCCGTATCACTCGTTACATTATTCCATGGTGCGGTGAGTTACGGGTGGACCAACACCTTGGGTATGAACCGACAGATCTGACAGTGCTAGGTATTCATTGCTTGTGAATATTGGCTGCCACTTTATTTCCAGTCCGCGAGGCAAGCAAGCCCGATGCGCTCAGGACTGATGGTCCTTCCCCTGGTTTTGGCCGAAGGGGTCTTCAGCGGAATCTCTGGCTGGTTAATCCATCGGACAGGCAAATATGCAGAGCAAATCTGGATAGGCACTGTCCTTCTTACTCTCGGGACTGGCCTCTTCATTCGGCTCAATCCAACCTCCCGTTTGGTGGAACTAGTCATCTTCCAGGTCATTGGCGGCGCAGGATCAGCGATCTTATTTGCACCCCCACTGATTGCATTGCAAGCAATGGTCGCGCAAGATGATACAGCAAGTGCCACGGCAATGTTGGGCTTCATTCGCACTATTGCCATGTCGGTCTCGATTGTAGTTGGCGGTGTGGTCTTTCAAAATAGCATGGCAGGAGAGAGAAGCCGGTTAAAAGCAGCAGGACTGATGGATGAGATCGTAGAAGAACTGACTGGCGCTTCCGCCGCTGCCAGCACAGAGGTGATTAAGACCCTCAAAGATCCTTCCAAGGTTCGAACCGTCGCAGGTGCATTTTCCTCCAGTTTACAAAACATGTGGATTATGTACACCTGCATGGCTGGTGTTGCTGTTCTTGCAAGCGTGTTCATTGTGAATCGACCCCTAAGTGAGGAGCATACAGAAACGAGGACAGGTCTCAAGGAAGAGTAAACCGGGTGCGACATGAACATGTCGGAGGTTGCAACAATACAGGATTATCAGGGTTGCAAACGGTCGCTTGAGAAAACGATCTTAAGGGCAATGCGCGGTTGAAGATTGGGCTCAAATGAAGGAGCCCATTACTCTGTATATTACATCTTTTTGCGCGAATTCATCACTCCACTCTTTTACCCCATTACATACAAAGTAGCTTCTCGTGGCTCCAGAGAGCTTCCCTATGTAACTGAAGCATGCCACTTTCGCGCGACATATCTACAGGCCTAATGGCCGATGTAAAGGCCTCCATAGCCATAAGAACCTCGAATTTTCCGACAGTCCTGCAACGTCGGGCACCTGAAGAGCCCACTTCTGATATAGGATATGGGGTATATTATGTGCTTTCTTCTCAGATATATTATTTCAGTTATCAACAATACAATCAGGTTTGTTACTTCTTCGTTACCATTCTAAAGCTCATGGTCAAATACACCACGTTGTTCAGATGGCTTGCGACATATCCCAGGCGACATAGCAACTAAAGCACCACGTGCAGCTCCAAGCGCGGCCAGCGAGAAGGACTCTCGCAGTGTATCTCCGATAATCTCAATGTGGTCCCCAAGACCCTCTCGAACTGCTTGTTTTAATAGATGACCATCAGGGCCGGTAGTTAGAAGCACAACTCGGTCGACGTGGTCGGGCATGAGACTGTCAAGTGGAGTATCAGGTAAACGGCGGTCTAGTCATCTATTAGCATCTATGCTTCAGACTGTTAGGATGGTCGCATGAGGTAAAAGCTCACATCTCAAAACCTTAAGGTACGATATCAGGTTAGAAGCGACTACCCCAACGAAACGTCTCTCGGCAGCATGTACGTCTTCCCATGGTAAAACAGCCTGGGATTGTCCAGAACCCCAGCTCGTCAGGTCAAGAGGATACTCATCAAAGTGATGATCCTCGTCTTTTTTAGACCCCAGGAGCTGGGAATCAAGATCATCACGGATCAAGGTTCGGGCCTGTCTGACGGGGCCATAGAGCTCGGTTTTAGAGGCCCCAATTGCGATCTCCATACTGAGATCTTCCTCGCGATCAACGAGTCGGTCCGTAATATAGCGATCGATCATTGTGCTGCCAAATTGCAAAGCAGGGAAATATTGATAATTGCGCTCCCGCTCACTTTTCCCGCCGTCAGCCCCAGCACTAACATCTAGATAAAACATTCCATGATCTATGACTGCATAATTCAGACCCGGGGGACTCGCTATCGTGGATGTAGAGACAAATGTCGACACAGTCGTTCTAGAAACAGGTGTGAGAGCCGACTTGATTCCTGCCTCCCTACTTGCGTCTGCCACCATCTCCCGGAGGGTCTGGTTAAAGAACTCAGGTACTGCTATGACAGCATACTTGAGGTCAATATCACTATCGGTAGCAGCTTTCTGCTTCAGCTGTCGTAGCATACCAACAAATCCTGCTTTGACATCGCTTAATCTCAATTCCTCGTTATACCTAGGATTGACAAGCCTCCGAGTGTATGAGGCTGCCTCTAGGATAGTACGAAATACAGTGCGAGCAAATGAGAATACCTGTGAGCCCCGCAGTGCCGGTTTGTCAAGAAACGAATTCAGTTCAGTCATCCACTGCTGGCTGAGATTGGATAAATATCCTTTCAAGCTCCATTGCGCGGGTTTACGCCATGGACGCATAATATCATGACGGTCTGCGAACTCCAGCCGGAGGAGAAACATATGGCGAACATAAATATCGTCAGGTCCAGGAGTAACCGCAGCGATCACCGAAACATTATCTGACGTGTGGGCATACGCAGCAGTACTAAGGACTAATTAGCCAACGATATCATGAAGACCATCAATCCACCATAGCGGCTTACGGACAGTAACTCAGGGCCCAGATCAATTCCGATCGGCTGGGGGCGTCGCGCATCCACAGCCAGAAATAGCCCTAGTCCCAGCACGAGGACCCAGAGATTGAAGATCATGTTTCACTCACGAACCATGTTTCCCTAGGAATTAGAAGAACGGTGGTCTGTTATATGTTTCCACTTCCAACATACCCTGAACAGGAATTTTTCATGGGCGCCCAAGCCACTTTAGGGCGCGTTTCCGAATCTGGACAGTTATTTCGGTAATTTCCGCTCCGAGGCATTAGTTCATGTGCCATTAATAGAGAACGAATCACTAGCAGTCCCACCGCATGAAATGAAAGGAAAGGCTAGCCCTTATGAGAAAAGCTTCTATGTATAATCCAGGCTATTCTAATGGGAAACAAATCCCGGCACATCCGTGACTGAGCATTCCCATGCACATCTGCATTCCACAAGCACACAACCTTACCTAAATTTACGGACAAAATCAAAGAATGGAGAAGACGGAATCGAAAGAAAGGGAAAGAATTTTCCAAGAAGTTCAATACTGCACCTAGACTTTGTGTATACGAAAACTCGCCTCAGTTACTAGACTGCAAAGACAATGTCACAGCGTATCAATATAAGAAAGCACCTAAGCCTGGCCTTCCCTCTTCTCATCCACCTCAATCTGCTTGTGCACCGCAGCAGCCACCTCATTGGCCTTTTCTTTGCCCTCAAACACTAGGAGTTTCTGTTAGCCCACGTATAGACTACCAACGGGGAAAGAAAAAAAAAAAAAAAAAAAAAA